CCAAACAGAATCGAGCAATAATTCAGATTTCCAAAAGAACGGGACTATTGCCCAACATTTAGCACAATCAAGTATGCCAAATGAATAAACAAAATATTTGCAACCAAGTGCAAAATAATTATATCTGGACTGCTACCATTTCTAAAACCAGTTGCAAATCACAAAAAAAAGCATCATTTGAACTCACTGTAATTTCTGCTCGCCCATGGGTATCTTCATAACATGATTTCCTAGCTAATCAATTTTGGCTCTCCTGTGTAAGGTTCCAGGGAAATTATAATTGAATTTCCCTCATTATCAGAGAATATTATGCATTTTCTGTTTACATCCCACTATGTCCCACTCAATTCAATGTCCCTATTGCTATTCTTCTCATGGGTGCAGTTTTCACATGGACTCAGGATTAAGGGAGGGACATAAACATTTAAACAATGAAATAAATAAACTAAATTCCAAAAAACTAGCTACATTGTTTATTGGCAGTGTCCTAAAAGGATTGTTCTAAAGGGAATTTGTATTGGTATAATAGGAGTATGCAGTGAAATTCTTGTTCTCTGCCTTCAGGTTGACTACAATTTACGGCAACCCTTACATAGTGCATTTCTGACAAGATTTATTGAAAGGAAGTTTGCTATTGCCTTCTCTTAAGCCTTCGAAAGTACAATTTGTCTAGGATCGCCCAATGTATTTAAACAGCCTCCTCAGATGATCTTAGCCTCCTTGATGGTTCATAGAGAGAGATACAGTAGTTGTACAATCACAGATAGTGATTTAAACAGGGATTTTTCAGAGTCCTAGTCTAACATTCAAACCACTATACTCATTGGCTCTCCTACAGCATAATGTGCTCTTATAATGCTATGATAAACTATTGGTATTCTTCTGATGGGTATATCATTACAAGGGTTTATTTATTTATTTATTTACTTATTTACTTTGCTTGTATACTGCAGTTTCTCAGCCCGTAGGCGACTCAACGCGGTTCACAACAGAGCAAAAAGACAGTCATATCAAAATAGCAATAACAATTTAAAACCATGAGAGCATAATATACAAGTAATGGCACATCAATAACAACACAATAGCGTCTYGTAACTAGAATCGTGATCCAACTCGTCGTCTATAATTCCGTTCCTATATTCATCGTATTCATTGMACTRTTTATCTGAATGCCTGTTCGAACAGCCAGGTTTTTAATTTTYTTCRAMACACCATTAACGTCGGAGCTGATCTTATGTCCATGGGAAGGGCGTTCCACAGCCGAGGGGCCACCACAGAGAAGGCCCTGTCTCTCGTCCCCGCCAGTTTAGTGGTAATGTTTTAAAAAATGAGATAGACATTCATATTAYTTTTCTAAATACCTTACTAAAACAACAGTGACTGGGAAGGGCTTTTAGCCACCCTTTCAAAATGCACATTCAAATATCGCATTAAAAGGCACTGTGCTACTTCAATTACATGGTATTTCAACCATTTTCTTTGTTTGTTTGTTTTAAATATACTTGGGTATATGCTGTAGTGCTCTCTAAAAGTTCACGTTAAAAATAAATGTACTGATGATAAAATGGTACCCACTGCAAAAATGAACACGTGCTGAGTTATGATCTGTTCTACGTGCCTACCTTTATCACTACCATATCACATCACAAATCTTCAAAATACAGTGTGTTGCTAAGAGTAACTATCTGTGGTGACTGTGTTACTCTCATATCATTCGCAAAAATTCATTTTTAAAAAGGCAGAAATAGTATCAGAAAAGCAAAGGAGGATTACTAATATGTGAATCTTTTATAAACTCTGAATACGTGAGTCATGGTATTTCTACAATAAATCCTACTATGAAAGCAGCCCTTTTACTTCAAACATTACATACATGTAGCTGTCACATAATCAGCTATGTTTCTGCTTAAAAGGCAAGGGAAAAGGAGAATACTTCATTTTATTCATTAGCTAAAGTTTTCTCACTCATGATCTATCTTTATCAATTAGCAATTAATTACATTGCATTCCAATGCCTGTTAATTTCTTTGCCTTTAATATTTCCTGCATTCTAAACTGGGGAGGGGAGGGGAGGGGGATGCCTGAGAATGACTGTTGCCAAACTAGATACCATATTTAATTGATTCACATTAGCCTTTAAACCATCCTTGGCCAATATCATGTTAAATCTCAGTTTGGACAGCGTGCAAACAGCTATTCTCCTATATTTGCACTCCATACAAAAACCTCTCATTCCTGGTAGTTTTCAAGACCCAGGATGAGCATCTGCTGCTCTTTCTTAATAAGGAAGTGAGGTGGAGAAGCAATTTATAGGACAAAGATCCAGCTGCTCTGAGGTCCTGGGGGAAAGAAAAAAAGGGGCTCACTCAGTTTCTCCCCTCCAGCTGGTTTTCTATAGTCTTGATTGCTTCCCCTCCATCCCTTGTCATTGTGTGTCTGTCAGCAATTTCTGACTTATGGCAACCTTAAGGTTAACCTATCACAAGATGTTCTTGGTGAGATTTGTTCAGCTAAACTTTGTCTTTTCTTGAGGCTGGTAAAGGTAAAGGTAGTCCCCTGACATTAAGTCCAGTCATGTCTGACTCTGGGGTGTGGTGCTCATCTCCATTTCTAAGCCGAAGAGCCAGCGTTGTCCGTAGACACCTCCAAGGTCATGTGGCCGGCATGACTGCATGGAGCGCCGTTACCTTCCCACTGGAGTGGTACCTATTGATCTACTCACATTTGCATGTTTTCGAACTGCTAGTTTGGCAGAAGCTAGGGCTGACAGCGGAAGCTCACGCCGCTCCTCGGAATCGAACCTGCGACCTTTCGATCAACAAGCTCAGCAGCTCAGTGCTTTAACCCACTGCACCACCGGGGGCTCTTTTCTTGAGGCTGACAATGTATAATTTGCAAGGTCACCCAACGGGGTTTCCTTAGTTGACTGGAGATTTGAAACCCGGTCTCCAGAGTCCTAGTCCAGTACCCAAACCACTACACTTGGCTAGCTCTCACCTTCTCTCCCTTCTCCACCAGTAAGAGTCCTTCCACAGAGCCATATAACCCAGATAATCCACAATATCCGCTTTTAACCAGATTATCTGAGTCCACACTGCCATATAATTCAGTTCAATGTGGATTTTATACAACTGTGTTGAAGGGAACAAAGTGAAAGTTTGACAGCTGTAGCTACAGAGCTATGTACATGTCTAAGATCTCAGCCTTTCCCTTCCAAAAGAAATAACTCTTTCCCAGAATATGTCTGTCCAGATACACTTTGAGATAGGAAATAATTGGATGGCTACCCTCAAAGACAAACACAAACATTTAAAGACCTCAATACATTCTCGCAGGCTACAAGGGAATAGGGGCAAATGTTTTGGTGAGAATCAATAAGATGTTATAGTGATGTGCTTTTTAGTGTTAGGTTTGCAATGGGGAATTGGTCTGAGAGGAGATAAGAATCAGCCGTGCCCTATTGTGTCCAGGAAGAGATATGAATGAAAATGTTTGTAATGTCCTGAAGGTAAGTGGGAGACTGAAGATACTCCTTTCAAACAGAAACACATAGGCCTGGTTCGTCCTCACCCTCGCCCTTTCAATATCACACTGAGAAATCTTTGAAGAATGAATTCAAGCAACTGTTTATTTCAAACACATTTAACAAGAAATCACCCCTAACTCTTTTGAGATAGCTAGGGGAATGGTTACAAAAAAAATCTTTCTCTGGAAAAGACGAAGATTACAAGAAAGAAAATACAAGCTTCTGTCATACAGATGTCTTGTTTATACCACCAAGATAACCCAGCTATAATTCAGACTGGAATTTGCCCCATTGGTGTAACACCTACTTGTAATATAATATTTTGAAACTGCATTATTGTTCACACTCCAAATTCAAATCAACACAATTTTAGAGGTTTACTCAGGAACAAGCGGTTTACTACCACCACCATGCTACACCTTAGATTGGCTCCTTGACTGGCTCCAGCAATATGCTCCTCTTCTCCAGCTCCCAAGAGGCTGGAGGAGCTGCTGCTGCCACTAGCAGCAGACCTTCAACCCCTGTGACCATCCTATTGCTCAGGAGCCAGATGAGAGTGATTTGTAGCCACCAGAACCAGAGAAGAATCCATAACAGGAGTTTCACCTGGCAAGGAGAATATATTGGCAGCATAGGTTTTGTGGGGGGAGGGGGGTTGATCACTGACTTACTTATGAGTAACTTCCCCAAATCCAAATAAGAATTGTGGGGTTCACAAAAAATGAAGTACCATAATATTCCAAAGCATATATCTCAGCAAGTAGCACTGGACATATAAACAACAGTGGTAATGCTTGCTACCCATCAACCAGTTCCCATTCCCTCCTACAAAAACACACCAATCTAGATTGCAACACAGAGACTGGATTTTCTTGGAAACTGCAAAGCAAAAAGTGAATTTTTGCACATCACATTAATACCTTAAAATATATATTATCAGTGTTAAAAAGGACAGACACTATATGCCAAGATCAAGGAAGCTCTGAGGTGAGTATGGTGTTTGATTTTTTTTGTCCGTGTAGATGAGCCACAGTAAACATCAAACAAGTCTAGCCTTAGTGTAGGGTTATTACAAGTGCTACTACCTTTTCCCTATTTAATTCCAGGAAATAACTATTATATATGCAACATTTTATACAGGGCTGATCAACTTCAGTGAATCTAGGGGATAATTTTGTGCATTCACAGCTCCTTACAAGGATATATTGCCCCAAAATGTCCAGACACAAAGATTCTTAAACAAAGCGCCCAGAGGTACACTTACAGTTTTAATTCATGTGGCCTGGGGACATACACTGCCCTCCCCGCTTTTAACAGAAGGAAGAAGTGAAGTCATACATTCGTTCTCAGAGAACAATACTAAAAATCACTTGACATGACCAATTTGAAATAAATTATGTAAGAGAACAAAGACTACAGTAAATGAGCTCAGCAAGCAGATTTAATATAGGAACTGCCACACAGGATCACTCACCTTGATATATGTGTCAAGGCATGTGTGGACACGGTTCACGGCCAGATGGATGGACAGAGGAGTTGTGTAGGGGAAGGTTGCCATGACTACATGGCTAGGGGCTGGGAAGCTGATAATCTTGAAACCATACTTCAAGAACATGCGGACCACTTCCTCAGATGGCTTCTCTTCTCCTTCACTCAGAACACGACCCACAGCATAACGGCATTTCTCTGGATCCACCTAGTAAGAGATATGGAAATTGGATTTAGATTATAAAAAGCTTCGAAGGATGCATAAAGCTATGTTTAAAACAAAAGGCCAATACTAATGATGATACAAACACATTAAGGCAGTGGTTTTTAGTTTGTGTTCTTGAGGATTCTGAGAAAATTATCAAATGAGACAATTAGTTGTGGCAAACAGTTCCCGCAAATGTTTCCAATTTACCTGTCATTACTGATATTCACGTACAGATTTAGCTCTCAGTTTATACAGAATTTTGGTCATGCATTGTGTGAAAAGAGACACTTTCACAGACTCTGTTCAGGATTTCTACAACACATTCCCCTAGGGTTCCTTCATAAAACAATTGGAGCAACAATTGACCTGAAGGCTAGCACTGTGAAAATGCCTTCCTCTCTTTGTAGCCTATCACTACAAACAAAATGGGCACTGCAAGCCACACAAGAAAAACCATGGCTGCCACAGTAAGAAATGCAACTCCTAAAACAAGGCTCTGTGATATAGAAATGCATTCTTGCTAAGATTTCGTAGTGTCAAACCACTTGTGCAGCAACCTATTTAAAAAACAGCTTGACCTCCCCTGGCACTTATGCAGGACAGTAGTCAAAAACTCAATCCATCCTAGGAACAGCAGCTGCAACGATGGAGGTGGTGGGCAGCCCCAGCCACCAGAAGAAAAGGACCCAGTGTGCACCTCTCAGAAGAGGTATGCTCAATCTAAAGCGGCTGAATTTACCAGGACTGAGTTCTGTGCAGTCTTCAGAGCCAATGTAATATTGCAGAACTATTCAGAAAATGGGTTGAAAAGTACAAGCAATATCCCAGAGCACCCCTGCCACAGGGCCCTTGCTCTGTGCTTCAGAGCACAGGGTCCTTCACAGAACATGGGAGCATTATTTATAAAGGTAAATGGGTATTGTTTCTTAATATAATGCCACTGTAACACTTACCATGGAACTGTGCAAATTAGAAACAGTACTACAGCATATTTATTCTGCAACACTGGAGGAAACTATTTGTAATCTACTAACAAAGATAGGTCTTCACAAATATGGAATCCTGATGCTGAAAAGGCCTCTTCTGAACCAAAAGCAGCATAAAGGGGTGTAAAAACGTGGCCAATGCTCCCTAGGGGGGATTTTGTGGCATTTGAGGGTTCTTGTGTGTGATTTTTATTTATTTTATTTTTTTGGCCAGGGCTTGTGGTGTCCTGGGGGTCATAGCAGTTGTTCACTCCAACTTTAGAAGTTAAGTTTTTAAAAAGTGTATTGTAGAAGGCTTTCACGGCCAGAATCACTGGAATCATTTCATATCCTCCGAAGATGCCAGCCACAAAGGCAGGCAAAACATCAGGAGAGAATACTGCTAGAAAACAGCCATACAGCCACTCAACACTCTAAGAAAAAAACTCTTTGAAACACATGCTTGTAAGAATGTTTCTGCAGCATTTATTACTGGGAAATTTTGCTACAGAGCAATTTCCATTCCTTACCCTGTATAAAAGGACTGTTTTTCATTACCTAGTTATATGTATTCTCATCTATACATCCTGACAATTATACTCAGTCCATATGCATTGTACGAGATTCTTTGCAACCTTGTCTTTGAAAAAGGCATGCCAGTGTTCTATATAGGTATAATGGGTTCTCTAGTCTCTTGATTCAAAACTAACAATAGACACTGTTTTGACAAAAAAAAGTCAGAGCGACCCATCAGGGTCAGATTTTACTATTTAACAAATCTCACTTCCTTATCTGAACAATGGGGGGAATAAATGTCTCTCAATAATGACTGTTGACATTCTCCTGTGAAAGGCTTCATGGACTTCTGTAGCTCTGGGTCCATTTGTTATTCAACAATGCCAATTTCAGTAGAGACACCAATTATATCTAGTGCCAATTATCTGCCTATTGTGCAGGAAGCAACAAGTGAGCAACAGCAGTCATCACTTCTGCTGCCAATTCAAAAGCCTTGCTGCTCTACCTGATAACCACTGATCATGCTGTGACATTTACAAACACACACACACATACACATACATTGTTTATTTGTCCCTGGTATTCTCAGGGCTTCCATCCAGACCTATACTGACATTTCAGTGGCATGCTATGAATGTGATTGTTATTCTTGTTTATCAACAATAAGTGTAAAGCTAGAAACAAGGTTCAGACTTGTACTATTTAAGTGATGGTCCCTAGACCAGTGCTTATTCCCAAGCCATTGGCTTCCAGTCCCTGGTGAAGAAGGGAAGAAAAATTTATAGGAAATGGGGGAAAATGAGGTGCTAACCCTTGACACAATGGAAAGAGAGAGGAACAGGCAGATCCCTACATCAAAGAGATTAAAAGCAGTGGTTAAGACATTTTAGTTATTTCTCTAAAGACACTGAAGCCTGGCAAAAAGCAGTGGGAGATGATGTTCATCAGGGGAAAAAACTTCAGTTTACTAAATATGGGTATTATTTTCAGTGATCTCAAAGTTTTTCATTCTTTTTCCCACACCAGTAAAAAAAATTAATTTTCAAAATATTGATGATGCAAAGGCTGTGCTTTTAAAGGTGGGAAGATCACATGTTTACTCTCCAGGGCTGACAGACAGGCCGGCGGGGAAAGATTATAAGTACCTATCTCTATCAAATCTCTAAGACTATAAAATTCAAACTGGAAACTTGGCACAGATTCTAAGGGAGCCATTAGAGTGTACATCTTTCGTGGCCTTGCTTACTTTAAGATGAATTGGTTTTGGTTAAGATTTAAGTGTATCTATAGCCTTAATCACTAGGTAGAAGGACTAAGAAGTTTCTAATCCCCTTGGATTTGGGTATGTCTGCTAGTTAACACTAAAATAGCGAAGTTCAGATAAACTTTGCTATTTTATTGTGATTGTTTCTAACTATGCCCTATAGCCATAAGGGGAAAATCATCTCTTTGTCACCAGCACTCTAGTGCATCTACGCTCACATGCTTATCCCACAAAATTCACACTAACTATATATAATTAAAACTATACTCCTATAAACACACAGAGCGAGACATACACATCACTTCCTTTGCAAGGACAAGGTTTAGAAAAGCAAAGTGAGGTTCTAATAATTTAAATGGGTGCTTTGATCTGAGACTACACTCAATTTCCGACATTGCATCTTCATCTTAAAACAGGCACCTGGGATCATTAAACATTTGGGAAAGTTCCCAATTACTCTAATCCAACCCCCAGTATGGCACTCACAAACAGTGTGAAACAGATTTAGTTCCATCATTCAGACTGCTGTGCTTTGCAAGAGGGATCTCAAACATTTTCTTGGTGTTCTGCGTATGTGTGCACTTAACCCATGATCTGGAGGAGAGCCCCCCACCCAGCAAAAGAGGCAACCAGCAATGGGTCTCAGTAGTATTCTCATCTACTTCCAAATGTTGAAATGTACAGTCAACCCTCTGTATTGATGGATTTTCAAAGGAATCGGTTATCCACCAACTTTAAAAGCTATGTTTACCTTTACGTACTTTACCTCTGAAGAGATGAATTTCTTCATTTACATGCACTCATACTCCAAAGCAAACCTTGCCATTTTATATAAAGAACACCATTTTACTATATAAATTTATATAACAAGACTTGAGCATCCAGAGATTTTGGGTGCTTCCAGACAGCATCAAAATGCGGGTTTTAAAAGTGGGGCAAAAAAAAATCCTGGGACCTGATAGCAAGTCCACACACAGGAAATGGTCCTCCTCTGTCCTCACACCTTCCCTTGGAGCAAAAGATAACAAACATAGGTGAGCTTCATGCTCACGCAACGAGCGAAAATAATGTGAATTATCAATAGTTTCTGGGGGAGTGTCAAATTAGCCCCTTGTGTCTCGATAGCAGTTGATGGTAATTTAATCTAGTGCTCTCTTTCTTATCTTTTTTGGCAGACAAAGCAAAGAGGGTCATTTTATATGTTACATTATCATTTGAGTTGCTTAGCAGAAACTGAATCATTTCTACAAGAGGGTTGTCATTGTCTTTTATCAGCAGGGGTTTCAAATATCTTTCTCTTGGGTCACTATACAAAGGACAGTTTAGCATGTAGTGTGCAATGTCTTCCACCTGACATAGGCTGCAGATACAAACTGGTGTTATGTTGAGCAAGCTAACTGGATGATAGTTTTGAGGGTCATTCCTACCACCTTTCTTGCAGATGGGACAGATAATGCTCATTTTCCATCCATGTGGCATTTGTCCAGTGCTGTTTATCTTGGAAACTGGGCTACCAAGAAGGGAGCTACCCCATTCGGCATTTTCTTTGAAGTTCTTGTGGAAGCATGTCTTCTCCAGGTGCTTTCTTAGATTTCAAAGATGCAATTAATGACTTTACCTCACTGCCAGAAGCTGGTTCCCACTCAGGCAAAATAGAGAAGTCTTTGTCCAGCCTTGTAACTTCCAAGGTGCCCGGCTGGCTGCAGAAGATATTGGAGAAGTATTTAATCCAAGCAGAGGCAGTGATTGAGGCTTCCGATGTACTCCTTGTAGTCCTCTGGTACCGAGTTCCCAAAATCTGTCTTCCATTCTGTTACAGCCTGGTCCAGTTCCTGCCACTTAGATTTTCTGTGTTCATCTTTCTTATCTTTGAATAGACTTTTCTATTTTGTCCTGCATTTAGTAACATTTTCCATGTTTTTCCCAGATGGGTTTTTGCAGGATTCCCTTACTTTTTTGCAAGGTCTCTTTTGGCAACCCTGCATTCTACATTAAACCAATCATATTCTGCATGATTAATATTTTTATCTGTAGATATTGTTATACAATATCTAAGCTCTTTTATAATATGTGGATAGACATCTAAATGATCTGCTGAATTATTACAGACTTGTTGATATATGCTTGTCAAATAGTTACTGTGCAATTTCACTTTTAAGTGGATCAAGATGGAGGGTGGATGGAGGACATCCGGCAGAAGTTTTTATTTAAAAAAAACTCTCCAAGATGTGCTGGAACCCATATGTGCCCATGCT